GATCCATCACAGAAACAAAGACACTGAGTATCACATGTTCTCACTCATAGATGGACTTTGAACTATTATTGTAATATTATAAGGAAAGGATTGTCAGTAGTAGGATTCTGCTGGGGATGGGGGAAGGCACACCTCATCAGCAAGGGTAACTGCATAATGAACATGTATATACTTAACCCTGAATTGTACCCCCATCTTTAAAATAAAAAATTATAATCTTATGAAAAAAAAAATCACCGCATTTTTCCACTGTTCTTTTACCAAGTTCCAGTAGATTTTCTTGAACCAGAGCCTCTCAATTTTTCATAATGTTTTTGGTCAATATTAAGCTCTTTAAGTGGTTTTGATAATTTTGTCCAGTTTTATTGTTGGTTTTGTTTTGGGGAATAATATTTGCCAGTCCCCTTAATCAGCTGTTCTGGATGTCCTTTCCTGTCTCCTACCTTTCCCTCTCTCCCTCCCTTGCTCTTTTTCTCTATGTACTTCTGCCTCTTTGTCTCTCATTTTTGAACATTTAAATTTTATTCAAATTTAAGTTTATTTCAGAATATATTATGGAGGGATCTCTTTGCTATTAAAAAAAAAAATGGTGTTAAGTAGTGTTGATACGGATTTTTCAGGTCAGCCTGGGCTTCGATAGTATCATCTTCAACAGGTCGGCCAGCTGAGCCCCAGAGACCATCAGCTTGAGGGGCTGGTAAGCCTAGCCGCAGAAGTGTTGGCTGTAATGGGCTGGCAAGCCAAACCCTGAGAGTGTTGCTGATTCAGTGGGCTAGCAAGCCTAACCTCTGGAGTGTCTCATCTTCGGAGTCTTGCCTTTTCCACAGCTTTCCCAGTTCTTAGTCAACTGGCAAGCCAGCCCCCAGGGTGGACAGCTTCAGCTCTGATGATCTTCTGCAGCTCTTCAGGTCAGGGTTCTTGTCTTATGCCCAGAAGTAATGAGGAACATGGAGGGCTAGAAAGTGAGAAAGCAGGATTTATTGAGAGGACAGAAAAGCTCCCACAGGGGGAGGGAACCCAGCTGGGTTGCCAATTTGGAACTGAAACCTGGTGCTTATTTAGCCCTAAGACTGAGCTGATTGGCTAGCACTAGCTGTGAGCTGATTGGTTGACAGTAGCTGTTCTGATTGGTCAGTACTAAGAACCAGTTGGCAGGAGGTAGGGGCCTAATGGTGAGCTGATTGGTTGGTACCTGGCAGCAAGCTGATTGGTCGTTTTTCTATCCCAGCAATGAGTACTTAAGCTGTAGCTTGAGAGGCTCACAGGCAGCTCCAATAGGAGTATATCCCCCTGAGAGGCCTGCTGGGAATTTCCTACATTGTTATTGCAGGACCCTCCCTGTCTGTTTGCCTAGCCTTTCTCTAGCTATCTCCTCTCTCAGTGTCTTATCAATACTTATAGACTAATCCTCGTGTTTCTCACTGATTTGTAAGGTAAATTGTTGATTTTTCTAATTTTGATGAGGTTTATTTTAATCCTGTCCTCTTCTTTATTCCATCAGTTATGCTGTCTCACTTGTTTTTCTCATCTTTTGCTTTTCATTATCTTCTTTAAGCTTCTGAATAGGCTCAACCTTTTCTCGCTTTAAACCTGTCTTTTGACATTTTCCTCTTGAGTTTCCTTCACTACCCAGGTCTAAAACTTTGATTTGATTTTGATACTATAGGCTGAGGCTAGGCTAGGACAAATGAAATGTGTAAGGCACAGAAATTCTAGAAGGCTCTCTTGATTCTTGCAAGTGCAGGGTTGGCACTTGCAGTATTTTGCTTTTTAAAATTTTGCACCATAGATGTGTAGCTTGCCCTATTGTAGTTCTGGCTTTACTATTCTTACTTCTCACCAGTGTGTATTTGTGTCCCCAGTAGGCTTCATTTATTAACATTTTTGTGCACCTGCTACGTATTATGCATTGTGCTATATTTGGGGATTATAAAGGGTCTCAAGACACCATTTCTTTCTTCAGATTTGTTCTTTCTTAAGTCTAATGCCTTTTCCCCATTCCTCATCTTTCCTGCGTTCTTTTTTTTTTTTTTTTTTTTGAGTTGGAGTCTCACTCTGTCGCCCAGACTGGAGTGCAGTGGCCGCTCCCAGTCACCGCAGCCTCAACCTGCTGGGCTCCGGCGATCCTTCCGCCTCAGCCTTCCAATTCCAAGTAGCGGGAATTACAGGCATGTGCTACCATGCGCAGCTGATTTTTTGATTTATTGTAGAGATGAGGTCTTACTGCCCAGGCGGGTCTCGAACCCGCAGGCTCAGGCAATCCACCTACCTCAGCCTCCCAAAGGCGCGGGATTACAGGCTGAGCCACCGAGCCCGGCTTTTCCTGCCTTTTTGTACCATGTGACATTGTTGATTATTACTGCCTGTTCACCCTAACCCCACAAACTCTTCAGGATGTATAGCTCTTTCCATGGAAGGACTCCCTCTCTGGGGACCACTGGGCAGTTGGGCAATATATCAGTGGCCCTCATTCTGGAAGTTGGTAAGGATTGGAAATTGACTTGTGTTTTCAATATGTCAGGGTGAGAGTGCCCAGGACTTCTCAGGGTTAATGGGCCTTCACAAATATATCATGGGGGAAGGGAGGCTTGCTTGTTTATTTGCTGTCCTAGACTCTCTTCTGTATCAGTGTACCCTTTCTTGGTAATCTTATCCATTCTTGAATGCTTTGAGTTACCATCTGTATGCAAATGCCTGGCTAATAATGTCTTTCTCTTTTATGTTACAGTTTTTGAGTATTTGGTGGACTGCTTCATGTGGAGATATTTAATAATCTAAGTAGAATTCATCATCTTATCTAACATAGTGACTTTACCATCTTCTAGCTGGAAATCTCACCTCCTTGCTCACCTCTACATCTGCCTGGTTGTCAGCTGGTGCCAGTTTGTCCTGTGTAGTACCATATTAAGGGCCTCTTCTTTTCAGTATCTACTTGTACAATTCAAGTTGAGGCCTTCTTCCTTTCACCCATCTGTTCTGGTTATCTCCAGAGGTGCAGCTGCTGCTAGTTTCAACTCCTAAGAGGCTCTGAGGCCTGTGCCAGATTAATTTTTCCTGAAACACAATTCTGTTCTGTTGCTGTTCTGCTCATTCATGCTTCAGAAACTCTCTAGTGTCTTTGAAAAACTGGGCTGATTTTCTAGGTCTTCCAACTTGTTTTAGTTTCCTTGCCGCTGCCTCCCTTCATATAGATTGGATTCAATCTAGATGGAATTAATGTTGCAAGAACTTGCTTGTGTTTTTCTGTTTGCATCTCTATTTTTGTTTGCCAATGAAATTTTGGCAACAGTCTGTTTTTCTCTGATTCTTAGTTCTTTAAAACCTTTCTGAAAGCCGGGCTCAGTGGCTCAGCCTATAATCCCAGCACTTTGGGAGGCCGAGGCGAGTGGATTGCGTGAACCCACGGGCTTGAGACTAGCCTGGGCAACTTGGCAAGACCTTGTCTCTACAAAAAATTAGAAAACATTAGCCAGTCATGGTAGCATGTGCCTGTACTTCTGGCTCCTTGGAAGGCTGAGGTGGAAGGATTGCTGGAGCCCAGCAGGTCAATGCTGGGGTGGCTGTGAGTGTGCCACTGCCCTCCAGCCTGGGAGATGAGTGACAGTCTGACTCAATAAACAAACAAACAAACAAATAAATAAAATCTTTCTGAAAGTTCTCTCAGATGTCCTGATCTGAAGATACTTTCTCTCCCATCATAGGTACATTTATCCATACTTTAAAAATTATAGTGCTTATCACTTCTTTTTGTAATAATTGCTATTTCAATATAATTAAAAACATCTAATTAACCTTTGTATCCCTTATTATGTCTAGTGTAGTGCCTTGCAGAAGAATTTGTTGAAGTAAGGAATGGATAAATGCATTTCTGGATTAAGCCCTCAGACAGTCTGGACTCTACTATGTACAGTTCCCATTCCTTTGTTGTTTAGATAAGACTATCACTTTCTCTCCCATCTCACAATTGGATTAGCTTTATCTGTGAATCTCTTTATGTATCGCTAAGTGGCCTATTACTCTTTGTTTCTGTTGCCTTTCTTCTGAGTTAGTATTAATTTCATTTTATAGAAAAATTACATCATTTTGGTGAAAGATGTTTGTGGGAAATTTCGAGGAAATGGAAGCTAGTGTTCAGAATGACATCTTGATCCGTTTTGTGGGGAAGTAGGCTGCCTACCAGGATTTTGGAAATTTGCAAGTATAGACTTGACTTATTTATGGGCTGTTGGCCAGTAGAGACTAAAAAGTAGAAGTTGTGATGACATGTTCAGTATTCAGGTGGAAGGCCAGGGACCAGCTGCAGGGTCCCACATTTCAGTCTGCTGATCCAGGCAGCTGCTCTAGTATTCCTTAGACACAGCTGCCTAAGCTTCTGATCAGGCAACTGGTTTGAGGCGATGGCAGGTAAGAGTAGGGGAAGAGATTTCAGAGATGGCTAATTACAAGATTGCAAAATTTTGAAAGCTTGTGAACCATCTGGGGTTCCCTATATAGTTTTGGACATCAAATTACGACAGTGAATTAGGTTTTGTTGATGGATTCTAAGGAATTTACTTATTTGGCTTTATAGAGATACATCATTTGTGCAAGGTTAAACTTAGTATATGCCACATCTTGAGCCTCAGTTTAGTACCTATTTCATTACAGCCTTTAGATTTTATATCTTTATACCATTTTTCGAAGCCACATTTCTTCACATTTCTGTGTAGTCTACAAGCTGAATAGAACCGCAGAATTCCTTATTTTCCACTTATGGAGGTATTTAGTTGAAGTGGCCCGAAGGAGCAGTTTTGTGGTACTTATGAGGATGAAAGCCTTGAAAAGGAACTTTAGACAGATGGTGTGCTTGACTAACTGCCCAGGAGAATGTGACATCAGAACCTAGGAGGGATACCATGTTGCCTTTGCCATCTAAGTTCATCCAAGTACTGAATTTCCAAGAAGACAAAGGAGGCCACAGGTTAATTGCTCTCCATTTGCCAATCTCTTTTTGGTTTCAGCTAGTGACAACTAAATTGCTCAAGGCAGGAAGAATTCTGAGCTAAGCAGTTGCTACTTCTGAATCTGGAGAGAAGAGGTTACCTTGGAACCAGTAATGAGTCATCCTGACTACAGAATGAATCTCTGGCCCTTGGGGACCCCCAAAGGTAGGAAAGGAAAACAGAATCTGCCCTGGCAACTGGAGAACTGAAATACAGGTGAAATGGGTGTCGAGGTGGAGGGTGGCTTTTAGGACCAAGGAAGGCTGTACTTCTTTTGGTAACCTGTTAAATATTCTCCTGTGTTATTTATTCTAGAATTAGGTATGGTTTCTTGTTGTCCTAATTTATTGTTATGTTGATTTTAGCTGTTTAATTTATTCCAGAAAAGTAATAATTTTTAGTAATTCCTATTTTTGAAAAATCTGTGCCTATAAATAGCAAAGCACACTGAACCATAATATTCAGTTTATGGGTTCCATGTATATTGTAGTGCTGACTTAAAGCTCAAGTCTCATCTGTGTACATTTTATTCATGTTTTCTTACCCATTTCTTTCTTTTTGTGATTGTTTGAAATACTCATTAGAGAGTGTTATTCTCTTAAGTAATAATTTAAAAAAGGCATAATATCTCCAGTTGTAGAAATACAGAGATGTTTGAGGAAAGAGTTGATTGCTGCCTTGTGTTTCTAGGTGTGTCTTCTGTGGTTGGCCCACATGGTGTTGGTGCTTCGCCAGGTGACAAAAAGTCAAAGAACAAGTCCATGCGAGGAAAGAAAAAAAGCATATTTGAAACCTACATGTCTAAGGAGGATGTTTCAGAAGGCTTGAAGAGTGGAACACTCATACAGGTGCTTAAAATCTACTGGAAAGCTATTCCCTGAATATACAGATTGTGGAGCGGTCTATTCATTACACTATTTGCTGTTCTCTGCTGTGTGCTTTGGGAGAGATGGTGACATAACAGGCCGCAGGGTTGTTATGATGGCATAACAGAAATGGTAAAGTAACAGGTGCTTCTTAGACCTATAGTACATTTAGAGGTGATATGTACCACAAGACAGGGACAGGCAAAGTGCTCTGAGATTTGAGAGGAGGGGGCCATTACTTCCGATTAGGGTTGCCTAGGGATGCTTTATTAGAGGGGATACATGAGGGGGGACCCATATACTCTCTTTTTGGAGGGTGGGCCCCTTGTACTACTGGCTTCCCCCATTAGGTAAGTGTTCTAGGAACCCATTGACATCAGTGTACTAACTAGCATTGCTGTGAGAGGCTTCAGTGATTTTTTTTTTCTTTTTTTTGAGTTGGAGTCTCACTCCATCTCCCAGGCTGGAGTACAGTGGCATGCTCATGGCCACCCCAGCATCGACCTGCTAGGCTCCGGCGATCCTTCCACCTCAGCCTTCCAAATAGCCAGAGCTACAGGCACGCGCTACCATGCCCAGCTATTCATTTATTTATTGTAGAGACAAGATCTCACCAAGTTGCCTGGGCTGGTCTCAAACCTGTGGGCTCAGGCAATCCACTTGCCTCAGCCTCCCAAAGTGCTGGGATTACAGGCTAAACCACTGAGCCCAGCCAGTGAATTTTTTTTAGACTCTTTTAATGTGATTTCCCATTTCATGATGGGTGATTTATGAGGGCACCTGCCCACACTGCACTGAGTGTTCAGCAGTTTTTGATCAAAAATGGCATGACTCCCGTGTCCTACCCTCCCTGTCTACTCGATCTCACCATGAATGACTTTTTTTGTTTCCCTGATGACAGAAGTCCTCAAAGGAAAATGTTTTGTCAATGTAGAAGAGGTGAAAAAAATGGCAGAAGCACTAAAAGGCATCAAAATGAGTTCAAAACTGTTTTGAGCAGTGGAAATCGTGTCTTGATAGTGTATTGCATCAAACGGAGAGTATTTGAAGGTGACTGAAGTTTAAATGTATAAGAATGAATACACAGTTCTTTATAAATAAATTTCTGTTTTTTTAGTATTTAAGCCAGGCATGGATTGATGCAATTTGAATAAGTGAAGATAAGAGAGAGAGCTTTATAAATGGAGGGGGCAGTGTGTGCTACAAAGACAGAAGTGGGAAATAGGATTTTCATATGTGAAACACTCAGTAGTTCAGTTTTCTCAGAGCATGTGGTTGCTAAATGGCTGAGAAAAATGAATAAGGCTATAAAGGAAACAGTAGACAGCAACAGACAATATTTTCTGAGTGCTTTATTGTTTGCAAACTATGTTCAGAAGGTAGTTCAGCAATTTGAGCAAATATTTACTGAACATTTAACTGTGAGTCAGGAACAGTCATGGTTAGGAGCATGCTGCATGGGTGCTCTTGAGAGGAAGGTAGATGAAACTGCCTGCTTGCGTGTTGAACATGCAACCCAGTGGTGGGAGGAAGTAATGTGAACAGATGATTTAGGGGTAAAATGGTGAGTGCTCAGATAAAAGGGTGATTGTGGTGTATGGGAGAATATTGGGGGAGACTGTGAAACTGTGTAGGTTTAAGTTCTGGAGAGACTTTCTGTAGGAAGTGACACTTGTGGTAGGTATTGAAGAATGACTTGTTTGGGCTTATTAGATGAGTGGTATGTGTGTGGGAAGGAGGTAAGGAGAGGCAGTGGCTCTGATAACAATATGAACTTGTGAAGCAGTGTGGAGTAAGGCAGTTCAGATATCCTTGGGCATGAAATACGAGGTAGGAAGTAGGTAATGACTCTAGAGGGAAGCAGGGCTACAAATTGGAATTAAGTCTATGTCATGCTTTTTAGATTAATGTAGAAATATTGCCATGTGTTACTTGGCTCACTTGAAAATGTTGATTGTGTTCCGTTTTCTCTTACTCTGAGAGACCAGCTTATATGTTTATGTTTTTGGCTGATGATCCCCAACCAATTTACAAATGCTATTGTCTTCTCTTCCTTTTTTATCATTTTTTCTTTGTTTTCCTGTAGGTAGTATACATGTAATTGATGTAGACTCTTGAATAGTAAACTGTTTTTTAACAAATGAGTTGATCTTTCTGATTCTAGGAGTACTACTGGCTTTTTTTTTCTTTGACAAGGTCTTGCATTTAGACATTTGTCCATTTATTGTCCTGTTCATTTGCTCTTTGTTGTTCAGCCCTATACTGAACTCCATTTTATCTGTAAGTGTCTTGACCCTCCCCTTGTTACATGTACAGGATCCATTCTTTCTTGCCTCTCTTCTCTAGGAACACTTTCTTCCATTCACCCTGAGCATCGAGACTTTTCCTTTAAAAACTGTAGTCCTTGATTCCTCTGTGACTTTGTACATTCTGTTTCTGGTGCTTGGAATGTTTTCTCCCACTATCTTGATGTAATAATACTTGCCCTTTAGGTCCATACCTAAATGTTACCCCCTTTGAGAAGCCGCAACTTCAAGCAGAGTTGGCTTTTGTGAAATTGACTTTTTTGTTTACCCTTTATTCGAAACTTATTACCATTTTCTTGGCTTTTATATTTCCCCAAATAGACTGTTCCCTTCCTTGATGGCAGGGTCATGCCTTTTTCTAGAATTTAGCCTAGTACTTGGCATTGGATTGATGCTTAATCAATTTATATTGAATAAATATTTGTTTATTGATTGAAATAAAGGATCAAGATACTGTCTCTTGGAGAAGAGTGAGAGGAACCTCAGTTGTTATAACTTGAAAAAAATGTAGCTTAGAATTTTGATTATAGATTTATACCTATATAGAAATAGAGTGAGCACAGTAATCTGCACTGGTATTAGTTTCTGCTCCGTTTTAATTTTTGCTCTTGAATCAGCTCTTTGCTGACACTAAAACAAAGCAAAACAAAAATCTGATCAATATGACAACTTTCATTCCCAGGAGCTTGTAAGTGATTCCTCCTGGTCTGTGACATCATGAGACTCTGCAGCCAGAGCCTCCCCCCACATATGAAAACAGTTGTTCTTTGCAGATGGGGAAAGGAATAGGTTCCAGATATGAGGTCACTGTGTGAAATATACAACACTGTAAATAAGATTTTCATAGACAGAGAAACAGAGTCCATCTGCTTTGTGATATAAACTTTCTGTGTGCAGGCTTTGCTCAGTAAGGAAAAAGCTAGACAAGAAAGGTTATTTTAATGCTGATGGAGAAAATTAAGCTTATGAGATATACTTAGAAACATTTGTTAACTTTATATTCAAACTTAAGTCTATTTTCACCTCCCTTTCTTTCTCCCCATCCAGAGAAGAAACTTACTGATACTAGGGAGACTTTTTTAAAAATAGGAGTAGAATTTTGTTTTCAATACCTTGACTAATAATTTGACATTTCATTGGTGTTTTGTCCTTTGTGGGGAAAGGAGACCACAGTGACCACAGAAATCACTTTCCAGTGTTTGAAACTGACCAGCAATGGTCATGTACATGCAGTTTTGAAAGCTTTTTTTTTTTTCTTTTTTGAGTTGGAGTCTCACTCTGTCGCCCAGACTGGAGTGCAGTGGCCGCTCCCGGCCACCACAGCCTCGACCTGTTGGACTCCGGCGAACCTTCTGCCTCAGCCTTCCAAGTAGCTGGAACTACAGGTGCGTGCTACCACACCCAGCTCATTTTGATTTATTGTAGAGATGAGGTCTCACCAAGTTACCCAGGCGGGTCTCGAACCCGCGGGCTCAGGCAATCCACTCACCTCAGCCTCCCAAAGGCGTGGGATTACAGGCAAATAATAAACTTGTCTCACATTAAAGATCACATGTAGTTTCTCTCTCCATGCGTACAGTATTGGGAAGTTGTTATAGAACATGTTGGAAGAGATGGGATTGTGGGGATAGACATGAATGGAAGGGGCTCCAGTTTTGGGTAATGATCAAGATGAAATGTATGAAGGTGGTAGATTGACTGTTTCAGATCCCAGATGCTTTGGTTAAAAGAAGTTCAGGCTGAGCCCCCAGAGCTGCCTGAGGCATGATGTCAAAGTTCCTCCTAGAATAGAACATTGGTGTGAAGCTGTTATTGGCTATTTAAGAAAGCCCTAGTTTAGAAGGATAGAAGTCAGGATGGGCTAGTTTGTAAGACCATTACCATTTATTAAGAGTGAAGTAAGCTGGAAAATGCTTGGGAGTAAATTAAAGATGGGAAGAATAGAGGTGCCGTTACAGTGGAATGCCTGTCACTTAGAAGAGAGAGATGATATTCATAACATTAATACTGGAGGTGATGGAAGAACTTTAGCTCTGCAGGAATTAATTAGCTCAACAAATGTTTCTTGTCTGCCTGCTGAGTACCAAGCATATACTAATGTGAGCAAGATAGGCAGGTCACTGGGGAGGTAGGCAAAAGCAACTAAAGAAGTAGAAAAGAAATTACAGACTTTGATTACTGCCAATAGGGAGATAAAGATGAGAGAGGAGAGCCACTTTACATAGGATGGTTAGGGAAGGCCTCTGTGGAGAGGGGAAAGAGTTGAGATCTGAAGGATGAGAATGAGTCAGCCTTTTGAAGAATTAGGAAAAGAGTATAGCAGAGAGATCAGTTAGTGGAAGAACAGCAAGCAGAAGTCATCTTGGTGTTTTGAGGAACAAGAAGGAAGCCTGTAGGAACATTGTGAGCAAAGGGAATTATAATAAGGGAGTAAGTGGAGAGTTAGTTGCTACTAGCCAAGTCATGTCAGGTCTCTAGGCTATGTTGGAAAGTTGGACTGTATTTAAAGAACAGAGGGAAGTCACGGAAAGCTATTAAGCAGGGAAAGAAATTGATCTGTTTCATGCTTCAAAAGCACCTCTCTGGTTATTGTGACATGGATAGACTAGAGTGGAAGCTGAACACTAAGGAAGCTATCAAAGTAAACCAGGTGAAAAAATAAAGATGTGAACAAGGTGGTGGCAGTGAAGATGGAGAGAAGTGGATAGATGTGGAGTTAGAATTGATACAACATACTGATGTGTCAGATGTGGAAGGTGAGGCAGAGGGAGGAATTCCCAGTGACTTCTCTATGTTCTTGAGTTGAACAGCTGCCTGGATGATGTTGCCATTAATCAAGATAGGGGTGGGGAGGGTTGGAATGCAGTGCTGATTTTTTAGGGAAAGAGGGGCAGATGGCATAAATGAGTGAAGAGGCCCTGGTGATTATGGCAAGCAGAGAGTCAATTCACAGTAGTAGTAAAGGTTTGGACTCTGGAGCTAGACTGCCTGAGCTTGAATGTGATGTAGAAGTGAACGATTTACATAACATTCCAGTGCCTCAGTTTCCTCATCTGTAAAAAGATGATAATAGTATTCACTTTATAGGGTTGTTGTGAGGCTTAAACTAATTGATAGATATAAAGCTCTTCAAACTGTGTGGCACATAGTACAGTTGTATAAGTGGTACTTGAGATTGGTTTTATTACTAGAAGAGGAATATCTGTTACTCAGCTCAGGTGGTTGCTACCATGTGGAGATAGCTGTCCACAGCTGTTAGATCTTATGATTTTTCAGGAAAACCTGGAAATACATGTTTTTATGCATGCAATTCCTTAGTTTTAAGCATTCTCAAACATCCTGTAAGGCTAATAAAATGTTTGTGATTGCCAAGTTAGAGTAACTAGCCCAATTATATGGTATTTTTCTATAGAATCATTCTGCTCCTTGAGTATAGGAAGGGAGACAACAGATAGTTGGGGTCATTTGAGAGGGGAGCTTTGCTGGCTGAGTATCGGAGGAAGAGAGGACCCAAGACTCAGGGTTTGCAGTGTTAAGAGATAATAATAGGCCATGGGAAATAGATGGCCAAGGAAGGGAGTAAACATAACGGGAGGACAATGAATAGTAAAAATGTGGTCAGGATTGTGGGTTGGAAGTCTTAGTGAAATTAAAGAATTGCTGGAGTGAAGTTTCTACCACAAGTGGACAGAAGATTGTCACCAAAAAGTGTGATATTTGATGATTTGTTTTTGGAGGTAGTATCATTAGTAGTAATGACGGGATCCAGGCTGTGAACATGGGAGAGTGGCTAGAACTGGGTAAACAAAAGGTAGCTAGAGTGACAGGCTAGGGTTGCCTGGTCATCAGCATGGGTGTGAAGTCTCAAAAATGTTTATAGAAGTGAGGATGGAGAGGGAGGCAGTGAGCTGCGAGTCAAAATATTAGTGAATTAAAGCTTTGACCAGAAGGTTTGAAGATGACTGCATCAAGGAGGAGCTATTGATATGTAGTTCAAAGGATCTGGGGTTTTTGAAAGAGAGTGAAGGGGAAAAAATGATTTTAAAGCCATGATGCGAAAGCAAGGAAAATATATTCTTTTCCTTGGTTCCTGGGATACAGGGATATGAGAGGGAAAATAGACTCCCTTTGAGAGCACTCAAGGGAAGTGATAACATTAGAGCACAGCCAGGTTTCAGTTAAGGCGAGGAATCATAGCAGCATCTGGAGAAGAGATGGAGGCTCTAGGATTCTCACTGAAGTTCCGGGCCTAGGAATGGGCTTTAGGAAGAAGATAAGAGATGGTTATGTGTTGATTATAGAAATGGAGAAATAAAAGTCCTGGACTTTGTAGGTGAGTAAGATAAAACATCTGCAGGAGTCTCTTTCAGTTAAAAGACCAGTTTTTGGACAGGTTCTACTGCCAGTTCTGCCAGGCTATAGGAACAACTATATATATATATATATATAAAATAACAACAGCTCTTGTCTGCTGTGGAACTCTTTGACAGTTTCTTCTTCTTAGTGTGAGCTGCATTTTCTCAAGGGGTCTGTTTCTGAGGTTCAGTTCTTGAGAGTTATGCTCAAGTCACATTTACAAATGCTATTCTAGAACAAGGTTATCCTTCCCTGTATGCTTTTATATATAGGGAAGTTTGAGTTGGAGAATCAAGGATAACATCTTTAAAGTCTTTTAAGTATGTTTTCTTTTAAATAAAGCCTAGATGCAGCCCTTAGCAACCTATCTTTTTCCGCTAAGCCCAGCCTTGGTCTCACTTAGTACTTTGGAATTAAAGGCACTCACAGCAGGAGGCATTCTCATTTCTGTACTTCTTCATGTGCTAGCCATTCACTGAGCTAGAAGGAATGTTAGAAAAATAGGAATTGAAAAAAAAACTTAGGCCAAAAAACAGCACCTGGAATCAGAAAATGAAATTGTTAAACGTTTAATTTCAATGAATTTAATTTAATTTGTTTGGAGTCTCTTCCCCTCACTTCACTGTAAGCTGTCTGAAGGTGGAGACTATCTGTTACTCTCCCCATCACTTAACATGGTGTCTGTCGTGCTATTTGTTAGGAAATATTTTTTGAGTGAATGGATGAACATTTAAGATAAATGTAAGGGTTTTTTTTCTTCCCTTTCCCAAAAAGAAACAACTCTCCTAGAAATGGATTTGCCGTGACACTCTTTTTTTTTTTTTTTTTTGAGTTGGAGTCTCTGTCGCCCAGACTGGAGTGCAGTGGCCGCTCCCGGCCACCGCAGCCTCAATCTGCTGGGCTCCAGCAATCCTTCTGCCTCAGCCTTCCGAGTAGCCGGAATTACAGGCGCGCGCTACCACGCCCGGCTGATTTTTTTATTTATTGTAGAGATGAGTTCTCGCTGTGACACTCTTAACAAGGGACTGACCTTGGGGAGCTTTGCCAGCCTTATCTCCTGGCCCCTCCCTCTTATACCTTAAGTAGAGTTATAGTATGTAGGAAAGAGTGTGTTTGCCCTCTTGACCACTTTTGCTAGCACAGTACCCTCTATTTCTCTTTTGATTTATCTGCAAAGTTTGCTCTTTCTTCAAGGAGTGGGGTCAGGCACCATCTCTGGAGCCTCTCCTGGTACCCCAGCTGTGAAAGTAAGCTGTACCCCCACTTCATGCTTTCCTTTAAAACAAGGACTTAGCTTAGTTACCATTCTCTTACCCAGCATTGTCTGTCTCAGGGTCTTGAATGTAGTCGGTACTCAATAAGTAATTGTTGAATTAAGAACTGAATGATCATTTATAATAGTTTATTTGGGTGTTCATTTTATTGTAAACTGTGACGTGGATTTTTGTAATTTTAAAATGGTCTACTACTGAAAAATTATTTTCTGCTTTATTTTATACCCTCATCTATTGTGTTAATTATGTTTCTTTGAGTCTTTTAACATTTTAGGGATAAATGTTATTTAAAACACTTTCTCAAGATATCCTTTGAGTCTGGCTGTTAGAAGATAACTACTTTCATCCATGTGTTCCAGTGGCTTGTGACTACAACTGGAACATGGGGAGTGTTACAGCTTCCTGCAAAAGCCTAAAATACTGACCTGTTATTGAAGAGACCCCACCTGCACCCCTGTGTATAAATAGAAGCAGACTCTGATTTGGTGCTGGAATAACATGAAGTTGAAGGCAGACTGGGTGGCCCGGCTGTTGGAGCCAGGATTCCCATTTGCTTTAAGAGCTGGTTAGAGACCATTTTGAGTTATTGACTCCTTCAGCCCTGCAGAGGGACCAGAGTGAAAAATAATGCATACAGTCTCTTAAGGCTCAGTATTCAGATTAGAAATCAACCTGTATCACTTTGAAACTTGTCATAGAAACAAGCAATTGTGCAAAGATCTTGGGACTGGGAGAATGAAAAGGGCCATTATATAGTAAGGCATAATCCCCAGCTAAACTTATTTTTAAAGTCAAAGTTTAAATTTGGAGACTAGCGTACAGGAGAATCTAAAATCTCATTAGTTGTCACTTTCCTACTCCATGCCAAGTTCTGTTTCCCACCTTTGCTTGTTCAAAGCAAGCTACTAGTCTAAGCTTTCAGTTTTTGATGGAAACCTGTGTTACAGATATCAACAAGAATCATGTTTCATGCATATGATGAATAATTGGTATACATCTAGCTTGTTTTCTAAATTGAACTGTTTAAAAACGTTTTATTTAATATACATATGAAAAAATTGTATCCTATATAGCTAGTTGTATTTTCATTTTTTTTAAAGGGTGTATTGAGAATTAATCCAAAGAAGTTTCATGAAGCCTTCATCCCTTCCCCGGTAAGTTCAATAACTTTATAATAAACTTAATGTCGAATTTAATTTTTAGATGTGCTCTGAAATTGAAATCATATATTTAACTAAAGAGCAGAGTAGTAAAACAAAATTGAGGATGGGCAAGACTTGTTTCAAATTTAAATAAATAAAATTTTCTTTTGGTTAACAATCCCTTCTGCTAGTCTTAAAATCACATGCCAAATTAAAGAGATGGCATTTGTTACAAGGCTGCAGAGAGCAGCTGGACTCAGGCAGACTACCCACCAGTTCATGTAATTGGATGCCCTTGGTTTATAGCTTAAAAGGATTTATGGTTTTTTCCCACTGATTTAAGTTAATCTTTCTAAACAAATATGCTATCTACTTTCGATCTACTGCATGAGCTAATCTGAAAATTTGTCCAAAAATAACGTGTGATTTTTTTTTTTTTCCCCCCTGGTCAGAGTTTCTCACTTCACTTTTATACAGGTGACAGAACTTGGTACAAGGCTCTTTACCATTGGGTCTTTATACTCTTTCTTACATTCATGACTCATTTTAAGAGGCTTTCTCCAGTTAAATCAAGTTCACACTGACATATGGCTAGTAGCTGGTTTTTGGAGAAGGCTTGATTGCGCAAAGTTGGGAGAGCAATACTTCGTAGGTGTTATTTTTACAAATTGAGTCTCCCTTATTTGAAGTGCTTGTGACCAGGAGTGTTTTGGATTTCAATTTTGTTTTGGATTTTGGAATACTTATATATGTATATCAAAATCTGAAATGCTCCAGTGAACATTTCTTTTGCACTTCATGTCAGTGCTCAAAAAGTTTCATATTTTGGAACATATTACATTTCAGATTTTCAGATTTGGAATGCCAACCTATATTATTATTGTTAAAATAAGCTTAAGACCTGTTTTCATGCCCAGTTTAGTCATTTTTTCTCCCTGCCCTCTAGGAACCAAGAATTCACATTTGCATCCAAGTTCAAGTCTTACCTGTTGGATTAGATTAGATATGTTACAGACTATCACATTATTCTCTCTAAGCCATATTCTGTTTCCATGACAGAATGTCATACATATGTTGACCTTGACACTTGGGTTGTAGAATTGAGGGTCAGTTTTGAGGTGGTACCTTGGCTACAGGAGCAATTTCCTCATACAGTGAAAGTGCAGTTTATATGGGTGTTAGGTTCCAGAGTTTGCTCATAAGGTGAAAATCACATCCAGGAATCAAAAATAACCCATGAAAATCTCTTAGGAAGGTATCATGTTAGAGTTGGGTCTCTCAATAAATCTGCATAGCCACATAAGAAAGAGTGACTATTTCTTCATTGGCATACCAGTTGAAAGGGCTTGGTTTTATTAGGAGCCCTCATGTGTGGAAAAGACAGATTTTTAAGCATGCAAATCACTCTCAGTGCTGTTAGGAGTTCATCTTGAGAAGCATCAGGGAACTGAGCAGATTCAAATCTCTTGTTGCCTGTGCACACGCCTATTAATTGGAATGATAAGGGGAAATACAGTGTTTTGAAAATGTTACTGCTTCTCTATCAAATTGCCAACATCATATTTCACAGATCTAAAAATGACAATACAGAAATTCATATGGAAGCAAAAAAAGAGCCCAAATAGCTAAGGAGTTCTCAGTAAAAGAAACAAAGCTAGAGATATCATACTTCCAGACTTTAAACTTTATTATAAAGCTACAGTAACCAAGACAACATGGTATTGCTACAGGAATAGACACATAGACCAATAGAAAAGGACAGAGAATCCAGTAATAAAACCATGGTCCCTCAACCAGTTAATCTTTGACAAAACCATCAAAAGTAAACATTGGGGAAAGGAAACCATATTTTGCAAATGGTGCTGGGAAAACTGGCTGGCCACATGCAGAAGAATGACACTGGACCTCAACCTATCACCATATACAAAAATTAACTCAAAATGGATCAAGGACTTACATATAAAACCTTAAACTATGAGAATTTTAGAAGAAAACTTAAGGAACACACTCCTGGACATTGGGATAGTCAATTAATTAATGACCAATCCTCAAAAGCAAGTGCAACAAAAGCTAAGATTGATAGATGGGACCTTATCAAACTGAAAAGTTCTTGCACAGCAAAAGAAACCATCAAGAGAGCAAAGAGACAACTCATGGAATGGGAAAAAAGATTTGCAAACTTTGCATCTGACAAAGGCCTAATATCCGGGATATACAAGGAACTCAGATGAATTGAAAGAAAAAAACAACCCCATTAAAAAGTAGGGGAAGGATATGAACAGACACTTCTCAAAGACATACAAGCAGCCAAAAAAAAAAAACCACATGAAAAGATGCTCAGTCTCACTAATCATCAGAGAAATGCAAATCAAAACTATAGTGAAATACTGCCTAACACTGCTAAGGATGACTGTAATTAAAAAGTCAAAAAACAATAGGTGCTGGCATGACTGTGGAAAAAAGGGGATGCTTCTATACTGTTGGTGGGAACGTAAAGTAGTTCAGCCTTTGTGGAAAGCAGTGTGGCGATTTCTCAAAGAACTAAAAATAAGCTTTCATACTATCCAGCAATCTCTTTTCTGGGAATATACCCAGAGGAACATAAATTGATCTTTGTATGAAAGACAGCTGCATACGTATGTTCATTGCAGCACTCTTCATAATACAAAAACATGGAACCAACCCAGATGCCCATTGAAAGTGAACTGGATAAAGAAAATGTGGTACATACACATGATGAAATGCTACGTAGCCATAAAGAACAAAATCATGTCCTTTGAATCACTATGGATACAACTGGAGGCCATCATCTTAAGTGAACTATAGAAGAAACAAAAAACTGAACATTGTATGTTTTTCACTCATAGTGGGCCCTGATCACTGGTCACATGAGCACAAGAGTGGGATTGGCAGATGCTGGACACTACTAGGGTAGGGAGGGAGAGTGGGGAGAGGGTGGGCATGTAGCAACTTGTTGGGTACCTGGTCCGTTATTGGGGGAGAGTGGGTCAGCTAGAATCCCATACTTCATCTGCATGCAACTTACTTATGTAGTAAATCCTCACTTGTATGCAGAATACAGAAAAGAAAGAAAGTGAACTTCCTTAGAGGAAAATAAAGGAATCTGGTGGGGGTGGAGGCGGGGTTACTCAGATTTCGTATAGCTCCATGTTGAAACGTTGCTTCATAAAGGAGGTCCACCTGCGGCCTGCCCCTCTTCCCTTTGCAATCCTGGCTCCCTGTCCTCTTGTGGCATCTTATCCCACATGTTTAAGTTGTATCCATACCCCTGAGAAATACCTGCCCTTTAGCCAACCGCCAAATCAAGGGGGTGCCATTAGTGGTGAGAAAGATGACTGTGTGTGTCTTGGAAGTAGGCATTGGGCTAATCATTTCAGGGAAGTATGTCATTCAGCCTTGAGAACTCCTTGCCTGATGGGGAAGGGTGTGGCTGGAGAAGGGTGTGGCTGGAGAGGGGTCAGATCAGAGGTCCTCTTGTTCCTATAAATTAAATTCATATAATTTACATTTGCACGTGATGCTTCTCCATGGTTTAACCTGGCTTATTAAAGGAAAACTAAGAAGCAAAAGCAAAAGTTAGTGATGTTTTAAAATTTCACAGTTGTTCTCTTACTTGAAATTGTATTCCTGGCAATTCCTATTGAGAAGTTTTTAGACACCTGTGATATTAGGATTGGCTTATTTCTGTGCTGCTTTTATTCTTTCATCTGGCCCCTAATTGTTTAGTAGATTGTCTGGAGAAAAGCAACTAAACAGTTCACCTTTAGGTAAGTAAAAACAGATTGTAAAAGCTACAATCAAAGCCCAATTGCAAGTGATTGTAGATACTAGTATTGTAGTTTTGGACATTGGAGCAGTCCTACATTCTTGTTTTGTCTGTTTCAGTATTCAAAGCCATTATAGACAGCAATTGAAGAGGACAATAGTAGTGGCAATAAATTATGTGTAGATAAACCTCACAACCACCAGTGGTCTGGATTTCTGAGTATTCGTAGCTCATGTCCACGTCAAATATGAACTTGTGTGAACTAAAACATGCCCACAGATAGACTAGGAAGTAGGATGTCAGAATTAGGGCCTGAATGCTACCTTCTTAAAGCTAGGATACTAAAGACAGGAATTGATATTAAAGAAGATGTGGCCTCAGCTCTGACAATAGGAAATACAAAGTTTTCCTTACTTGTAAAATGAGGGCATAGATGAAATATTGTCTAATGTTCCTCACATTGTCAAAATTCTAAAGTTTTTAGAGAGCTAAAAAATAGAGATTTGATTACATTATTTGGGTTTACTCTTACTGATTCTAAAAATGGTTGTGAATTTACACATTGTCATTTGCTATACCCAAATATCTACCTAAGTCAACAGGTTAAGAATAGTGAATAGGTATAAAGTAATACTTTGTTTTGAGGGAACTTGACTTAGGGTCATTATAATTTCTGATAGAAAGTTGATTGTCATTTTGTGACAAATCTAAAATACTTAGGACGAATAACTTATGTGCGCCTGCTAGTCTTCTAGGGGGGTCTCAATAAAGGTAAAACACAGAGTTTGAATAAAACCATGTGACTTTCAAGCAAACCAAGATAAAATGATATTATTGAGATGCCTGTTTATCCTACTTGGAGGTAGGATAAAGAGAAATGAATCAGATGGAAAACCTAGCATTTTAAAAAGCACAGTTTCCATTCTGAATTATGTTGGTCCAGGAAGCTTTGTAACTTTTTTATGCATCTTGTCATGGGAGGCACCCTTTGTACAGCTGTGGAATTTATTTCTGGTTCAAAGAGCTATTCCATCAATGGACAATACTCTGACCATCGTGGCATACTTGGGTTGTCCTCCCTCCTCCAATCCCCTAAGTATTTAGTTTGATTAGCCCCACCCCCACCCTCACCAGATTCCTTTATTTTTCCTCTAAGGAAGTTCACTTTCTTTCTTTTCTGTATTCTTTCTAATGGGTAGAGCAAGACTTCTGGCATCCAAATAAAGAACTGAACATTTTGACCTTAAAAAGTAGTTAAGAGGGATGACTTTTAATATTGAGTCGTTACCAAGGTTTGTATCTTTAATTAAGAGATTTGATAACAGATACAGGTTCCTGAATGAATTAAGGAAGGGCAGAGTAGTGTTTTTTGAAGTTAAGCTCAGCCCTGTTCTCCTGTGTTTCTTGGGATAGGAAGGTGACAGTACTATCACCCTGTCATCTGAAATCTCTGAGCTGCCAAAGGGTGATTGTAGCTCCTTGTAAGGGAAGCATCTTACTGCATGTGTTTTGTCACATGAAAATGGGTTAGGATGACCTCCAAGCAGCCCACTTTTCATTCCAGGGAGGTCTCAGGGATTATATTGCTTTATAAATTGCAGAATGCAGCAACTGATGATGATGTGCCATATTTCAGTTGTTCACTCTATTTTCTGGCTGTCTCTTCCTTATTTCTCTGAGAAGCTCATCAGGAGGTCAACTGCAATCATTCTTTGTAGCTAACACAGTAGCTGTTCCTCAGAGACTGGGGTGGGTTTGGCAGAGTGTGCAGGCCACAGCTGTCAACCATAACTAGATTGGAAATTGAGCAGAAAAACTGTTCTAAAGATCTCTAATGGTCTGTAATTGGAAACTGTAAAAAATGCTAAGTGACTAAAATCCTCCCCCTCCTTTTTCTGTTTGGTGATTTTGGAATGGTAATTTTAACAATAACTAAAATTTCATAGTTATTGCCTCTAGTCTGTTGAGTGTTAAATCTTATCTATATCAAATGTCTCTATTAGTAAAAGTTGAATGGTGACTTTCCAGATCTTTTTGCTGTCACCCCTTGTAAGGAAAATTAACAATTTACTTCTCTCTTATTCTCTGAGAAGGAGCACATAGCATAAACTTTTGAAAGAATAGAATGATAAGAGTACATATTTGTTGATGAAACATTTTGAAAATATTTCATTTTCTCATGGAACCTGATTGCTGAACCCCTGCTTTTCCTTAGCTCTTTTTTTTTCCATTTAAGTGTTTTTACAAAATAATTTTGCTTACCAGAAGGACTCTGGCACCTATTTAAGTTGAGACGTCAATACCTGGGGAGTTCACTGGAGAATCATGTAACTTAAAATGGACTATTTCTGGATATATGAATGAGGGTGAAGGTGTCTACACTTGGTGTTCATGTACTAGAGTTTAGAGTGCTCCTAAGTCACTGAGATAGGTGGAGTATGAGATGCTTTATAAATTTCTTGTTAACATCTTTTTCTTTCTCTTCTTTGCCTTCTACTTAGGTCTCTATGAAAACTACAGTTTGTTCTCTCGGTCACTTTCCTGGGGAGGGAGGGGGATATGATTTTGCTGGTTTCCTTTTAGAAAACCCAAATCCTAGAGCGAATTGTTGCTCCTGCCTTCACTTGGTTTTCTTGGGGAGATTATATGTTGTCCCTCATCTGTTCTCTTGCATACCTTCTGTTTTTTTACCTGAACTTGATACTTAAAAAAAGGTATCAATGTGCTTTCTTGATTTATTTAATTTTTTAATTTTAAAAAATTTTTATAGAGACAGGGGTCCTGCCTGGTTGCCCAGGCTGGTTTCAAACTCCTGGTTTCAAGCAATCTTCCCACCTCAGCCTCCCAAAGTGCTAGGATTATAGGCGTGAGCCACCATGCCCTGCCAGCATGCTTTATTTGAAACAAAAAGATAACCTTAGAACAAACTTATTCATTTCAGTTATGAAAGCATGTGGTCTAATTTTTTTTTTTTGCTTTATGTGTTTTATTTATTTGTTTATTTTTGGCTTGCCTGTAGCAGATCCTTTGCTTATTTGGTGATGTTTAGCATTCTGCTAACCTGTTCTTATGTGGTCATTACCATCTCTCTTAATTCCAAAAAAATTGAGTTTTCCTTATATGTGGCTTTGGCCATGTACTAGTACTCCTGTGAAGTCATTGGACAGAGTATAGAGTCTAAAATTTTTAAACCAAGGAAGTAATGTTTAGTTCTAGACCTTAGTGAACTGACTGTTGTTTTATTTCTCTTTCCAACCTAGGATGGTGATCGAGACATTTTTATTGATGGAGTTGTTGCTCGCAATAGAGCCTTAAATGGGGATCTGGTGGTTGTGAAACTGCTTCCTGAGGAGCAGTGGAAGGTGAGTTAAGATTTCCTTTTCTAATTGTAGATTTCTTAGGGCCTTTTGTATTCCATGGTGCCTCAATGAGGTATCATAAACTGGAAAAGTCACATACCCCTCAGGCACTGTGGTAAAATTGGGTGTTACCTTGGAAGCAGGCTACTTAGGACTTGAAAACATCTGCTGGGAAGACATCTAATAATTTGTTATTCTCCCTGCTGCTCCCTTTCTAGTGATCTTTCTTCCCTATCACATGCCTTGCATTGGTTTCTGGTATTCTTTTGGATAAATACTGAGGACTCATTCAAACTTGATTTGTATTATTTTCCTACATCCTATGCTGGGAGAACTAGAAAGAGCCATGGAGAGTGGCAGTCCTTACACATTTCTGCCACCTATACTGGAAAACCCAGGCCATGCATATGGAGTTCTATTGGTTCCAGTTTGGTGATTGGGTGATCCTTGGCAGAGAAAAATTGTTTGCATTTTTATAAATTAGGGAGTTAGTGGCAGATTAAAATATTTTTCATATGCAAGTATTCTGTGTTTCAGTCTCCATCTATGTCTGTTAGTTGCAAAGAAAGATGTGGTTTTAGTTTTGACTGTTGTTTTAAATAACAGTAAGGATGAGATTTTGGAATGATTCCTGGTAACAATTTCTTTGAATTGTCATATAGAATTGGTGACTTTTTATATCTAAGTCTGAATTTGTCTTCATATAATTTGTTTTACTTGTCTTAATTCATTGGTATTCACCAATTTGGAATCTTCTTCAGTGAGAGGTGCTGTTGTAATTCATAGCATGGGCTTTTAGGCTAGGCTACTTAGATTTGAATCTCATCTCTACCACTCATCTGTATAACTTTGAGTGAATCATACAACCTTTCTTCTTCAAATACCTCATTTGTAAAGTGATAATAATCATAGTACCCTCTTCATAGGATTGTCATGATAATTAAATTAGAATACATGTAAAAATCTTAGAATAGCACCTAAAAGTCTTAGAATGGCAGGAGCTCAGTAAATGTTATTTCTTATTAACTTTTCCAGAAAAGATGTGATGTGAGGAGTACCACCTTATCTTAGAGCTTTGGTGAGGCATAAATTAAATTTTAAAAACTCTTACAAGGCTAGGATAATTGAGTTACAGCTATGTGTCGTGTACTCATAGCATACAGGGAATTTAGTAATGATCAGAGTAGACATATTCTTGCCCTCATGAAGCTTAGAGTTTAGTGGGAAGTGCAGCTAGGAAGAGACAAATACTAATTAATCAGACTTACATAAATTTTATGAGGTTAAGTGTAGGTTTTTTTTTGAATGAGAGACAACTTTTCTAGTCTAGATACATATCCCCATCCCCATCCCTACCCCCAGTTGTGGATATAGTGCTCTTTGATTCCTTGGACATATAACTAAGGGCTGACTCTAGGTCCTAGGAACATAGATGGATTTAGGTTACTTCCTTTCTCAAAAGCATCATCTAGCACATTGTTGACCAGGTCCTAGAAGATAAGAGGAACATATTAGGACCAGGTCAAACCAAAGGAAACATTCCTAAAGATCATTTGATGGCGTGAAGAAGTAGCATTATAATGAAGAAGAGCCAAAGAAATAAGAAAGATAATGACTTCTTTTGACTTAAGAGGTGACAATGGTAGAATAGAAAGAAACAGGTGAATGGTTAGCAAGTTAGGTGGGTCTCGAGCAGACTAGAGCAGTTATGAGGTACTGACTGGTTGAAGGATAGGAATGGAGAACAAACTGTAGAGTACCAGTTGAGTTCTAGAAGAGGATGAAGTTGCTTCAAAGAGCAAGGCATTCTTTCTGCCCATGGCCCTAAGCAGGAGATGGCTAAAATAGACAAACTTGTGAATAAATACATCTGTTGCATTGCTTTCCTTGCTCCTTACCCCCTTTGTTGATAAGACTAGTAAGTAAGCACAGTCTTTCCTTGTTAGAAGTGTTCTTATTTTGGGCACAAAGCTTGAGAAAATGGGATAGGTTGTTGATCAAAACTTGGGGGTAGATTGGGGATGAGGGTGTTGTTGAGGTCTAGAAGAACAGGTTTGGGATTTTGGGCATTTTCTGCCTAGGTGCTTTTGCTTCCTGGACAGAAATATGTACCTCCTTTAAAATTCAATGCAACAAAGTTGTGTTTTTTCCTGAAGGTAATTTTACGAATTCGTATGTCACCGGAGCTAGTTAAGCAGATAAGAATTTGTAGAAATAGGTAGCATTTCCACAGGACAATGTGTTCAGGCTTCATAGACACAGCTTACTGTTTTCTATTGTATAGTTATTATTCAGAGGTAGAAGGAGTTAAGGACCAGATGGAGGGTTAAAGCCAGGGAGTGATATGGTCTTATTTAGCAAATAATTACTCTGGCTGCTGTTTAGAGAATAAACTATAGTGGGGCAATTGTACATTGGAATGGCCAGTTAGGAAACTTATACTGAATCATGACAGTAAATATGGAGAGAGCTTGGGATGGATATATTTTGAGAGTAGAACTAATAGGAACTGAAGATGGACTTGAGGGTGAGTGAAAGGGGAATCAGGGAGAACTGTTAAGATTTTGGTTTAAGCAAAATGGGTGAGTATGATGTCACTAACTGAAATGGAGAATAGTGGGGAAGAGCATGTTTTAGTGTAAAAATTGTTGGTTCTACTTCACTGTGCTAAGTTTTAGTTTCTTTTTAGACATGCTGTCAAGAGATGTGTTGAGCGTGAGAAAATATAGAGGTCTTGATGATTTCACTTACTGGTGAATCTTACGAAACATTCAAGGAAGAAATAATCCTAGTTTTACACAAGTACTTTTAGAAAATGTAAGAAAAGGAAACTTCATTCTATGAAGCCAGCATTGCTGTAATACCCAAATTGGGAAAAGGCATCTAAAAAAGCTACAGACCAATACATCTCACAAACATAGAGGAATCTTTAACAAAATATTAGCAAATAAACAAGGGTATCTGGATAATGAACATTTGTATACCTAACCCTGAATTGTACCCCACATATTTAAAATTAAAAATAAAAAAAAGAATTGTGAAAGACATCCCCCCCAAAAAATTAGCAAATAAAATCCAGCAACATATAAAAAGGATAATATAATATGAGCAAACTGAGTTTGTTCGAGGAATGCACATTGGTAGTTGGAAGGCTTTGAAGACTGGTTGTTGAATGAATATACATATAGTTAGGTAGAAGAAATAAGACCTAGTGTTTGAAGACTAGTAGGGTGACTGTAGTTAACAGTAGTCTATTGTATGTTCAAATAACTAGGAGATAATAATTAGAATGTCCCTAGCATAATGAAAAGAGAAATATTTAAGGTGATGGATGTCTCAATTACCCTGATTTGATCTGTACACGTTATATGAATGTATCAGATTACATGTACCCCACAAATATGTACATCTTTTATTGGTCAAATAATAGAAAAGAAAAGCAATAAGTGTAATCACCATATTACTTGACTAAACTTAATACTGTATTTCAAACACCTTTATTTCAAAAGATGCAGAAAATGCATTTGAAAAAATTCTTCAACCATTTGGGATAAAATAAACAATAGTGAACTAGGAATAGATAGTCAGTGCCTCAACTTGATAAAGGACATTTAAGAAATACAACTAGCATCATTATTAGTGGGTGAAAAATTGAATACTTTTCCTCTAATATTGGAGATGAGGTAAGAATGTTCCTACTTATCCCTTTTATTTGACATTGTACTGGGATTCCAGCCAGTTAAAAAAAGGGCAGTAGAAAGAAAAAAGCATACAGATTGGAAAGAAGGAATTAAGACTGTTTTTATTCTCAGAGTATATGATTTTCTTCATAGAAACTCCTAACAAATCTACAAAAAAAAAAAAAAAAGCTGTTGTAACTAATAAATGAGTTTAGCAAGGTTGCAGGACAGAGGCTTATAGATTCAAATCAATTGTACTTCTGTATACTAGCAATGACAGATTGGGAAAAAAACTTAAAGCATCAGTTACAATAGGATAAAAAGTATGAACTACTTAGGGATAAACTTGACAAGAATGTGTAAAACCTGTACACTAAAACTATAATGCATTACTGAGACAAATTAAATAAGAACTTAATAAGTGGTGAGAAATATCATGTTCATAAATTAAAAGATTCAGTATTGTTAAGATGCCAGTTCTACTCAAATTGATCAATAGAGTCAGTGTGTCCCAAATAAAATTCTAACAGTCTTCAATATAGAAATTAACAAGTTGATTTGGAGATTTACATGACCTAGAATAGCCAAAACAAAGAACAACAAAATTGGATGATATACACTATCTGATTTCAAGACTTACTGTGATGCTCTGGTAATCAAAACAGTATGGTATTAGCATTAAGATGAACACACATCAGTGGAGCAGAATAGAGAATCTAGAAATAGGCCAATGCATACTATATGCTTAACTGATTTTCTGTAAAGGTACCAAGTATTTCAGTGGGAAAAGAATTTTTTTTTCAATAAATGTGCTGTTGTAACAGTTGTGTAGCCATATAAAAAAATAAACTTTGACCTTTACTTTATACTATGTATAGAAATTAACATGAAATAAGTCATGGATCTAAATGTTTTTATAAAAATATAAACTTTCTGAAAGGAAATGCAGGAGAAAATTTTGATAACCTTAGATTTGGCTAATAAATTCTAAGTATGATTTTAAAAAATGAACATAAAAGAAAAACTACCAATAAATTTGACCTCCTCAAAACCATACTTTTGTCCTTTGTAGACACTGTTACAAAAATGAAAAGAATGCTGCAGACTAAGAGAAAATATTTGTAAAACTTTTATCAGACCAAGGACTTTCATCTAGAATATAAAAAAATCTTATAACTCAGTAATGCACAGCTTAATTACAAAATGCATTAAAGACTTGAACAGATAATTTGCTAAAGATGATATATGGATGGCAAATAAGCATATGAAAAGATGCTCAACATAGTCATTAAGGAAATACAAATTAAAAGCATAAAATAACACTACAGACCC